TTTAATTAGGGGTGTCATGAAAAATAAGGGATAAAGGGAAGGAAAAATGAAAAAATGGTCAGAAAAAAGAAGGGGGAATACGAACCGAAGAATTACCAATATTATTTTCAAAAATTAAAAAATTTTTCTTAATTAATAATTTCCAATGAAAATTTTAAATATTGTTGCATCAGTTTTACCCTCTTTTAAAAATTTATTTTCATGTGAATGCCCTTTTAATTCAAAATACAAAATTTTGTTTTCGATTAATAAAAAATATTAAATTTTATACCTGATCTATTAAATAATAGGGGCAGTGAATTAATTTAAAATAAAATAATCATTTATAAAAAATTTTAAATTCGATAATTCTTTAATTAAAAAATTTTTATTGAAAAAAAATTAAAAATTGAGGCAATGCCCAATTTAAAAATTTTATTATTTTTCAACATTTCCTCTTAATTTTTCAATATTCCTCTTGTATTATTCAACATGATCAAATTTTCCATGTTGAATCTAAACTGATGCAATCCAATCATCAATCAACTGGATCTAATATTAATTATCCTTTAATTAAATTGATAAAATTGGAATTGAGAAAATTGAAGTTGGATTTGAATTTATATGAAGATCAGCAATATTTTACAGAAATTATTATAGAAATAAATGAAGAATTAAAAAACAAATCTTTTTATATTTCAGTATTTCATGACCCTTGCTGGAGCAGACAATCAACTAACAAATATAACACAAATAATGCAATTAGAGGCGAAAATGGAAAAAAACAAATGAGAATTGAAAGGGATTATACAGAGGATTTTAAGCTAGGAATTTTAATCTGCGGATTAAATGATCTTATAGGAGAGGTAATGATGTTTTGCTCGGGTTTCCAACGATACCATGCTTAAAATATGGGGATCTCCAGCTTGCGTCTGATATTTTAATTTTTCGAATCACAAAGGAATACAAATTTGCAATACAGAAACGAGAAACTAGAATAATTTTGAGGAACAAAAATCTTATTTTTTTCATTTAGACACTTTTGATAATTTATCCAATTTTCTACGCTAAAATAAATTTTGAAGTAAATGTTGGAGTAAATAACGAGGTAGTTAATGAGTTAGATAATGAAGCAGATAATGAAGGAGATAATGAGGTAGATAATGAAGGAGATAATGAGGTAGATAAAGAAGTAAATATAAACGGAATAGATACATATTTTAATCATCAAGGTGGATTCCATAAGTTGATTAAAATAGATTGCTTCCTAAATCCAGAAGGACCTAGAAAATTAATGAAAATTCAAAAAATTTAATGAAAAGGGAAGAAAATTATTAGGGAAAAACAATTTTATTGATAATTCTGTAATTAATGAACATCATCGACGTGCAAAATTGAAGGGAATTTCGTATATAAATATTTGTTTGAAATTTAAAAATTCGGGGAAATATAAAATTAGAGTATTAACACCACTATTTTGGAGGGTACCAAAAATGGAATTACATTTTTACATTAAAATTAATGAAGAAAATAAAACAAAATGTTTCTCGAAAAAATTCATAGATTATAAAAATCAAAACGAAATTTACCTTTTAAGTCAATTAAGAGAAGGCATAATGATTCATGTAATTAATGATAATCATGATTATTCGGATTATCATACAAGATTAGAAAAAGTTGACAAGTTTAATGAAGATGAGTTTGATGACCTTGATAATTATACTTATTTAAAACCTTCATTCAAAGAAGATTTTAAATTTGTTGAAGAGGAGAATAAAAATAAGAAAAAACAGAAAAGAAACGAGTGAAGAAAATTAAAAAAAAGGAAAAAAATTTTTTTTGAATTATTTAAAAATTTCACTGTAAAAAATTTTAGTTTTTTTAAATCTGAAAAAATTTTGAGCCCGAAATCCGGGTAAATTCGGAAAGAATCTATAAGCATTTTTTATTTGGAGTAAAACCAACAAAATCAATCAAGATAAATATAATATGACTCGATCCGGTAAGGTAAGAGAAATGCGAAAGCAAGTTTTCGGAGCCTAAAAATTCTTATTTATGTATAATATGTTTTTTTTATATATTATAAATAGAGCGTGTCAAAATATGCACGGAAAATCCCAAAATATGCGCATATATGTATATGCACCGAAAAAGGCGTAAATACTAAAATAAACAAAATTTCTCAAAATATGCACAAGACATGCAGCAAAAATCAGTAAAAATGTGCTACAAAATTAATATTTTAAGTATGTAAAAACGATAATTTAGTCTTTAAAATATGAATTTAGAGCAATTCTAAAAAATTTTACTGACTTTAAATTTATAAAAAAAATTTTTGAGATAAATTTTCCAAAAATATTTTTCGAAAAAATTTTTCTAAAAAAAATTTTTTATTATTTATGAAAAAAATTTGTATTTTGCTAAAAAATAATTTTTTAACTAAAAGTTTCTCAAAAAATGACAAAATATGTCCAAATTTTGGAAAAATATGCAAAATTTACCAAAATATGCATAGATATGCAAATATGCACAAAAATGCCGAAACATGCAAAAATATGCATTAAGAACCGAGGTCTAAAGTGCTCGGACCTATGTAAAAACACCATTTTTGAGCGTTTCAGCTCATGGCATATCCGCATGCAAAATATGCATTTGCATGTTTTGACACGCCCTAATTATAAATAAATTATTATTAGTATTTATGTATAACTTTTCAAGTTTTTATATTTTTTTAAAATATTTATTTTCAATTTCTGTTTTTCCTTAAATTTTCCATTTGTTATAATGCTACAGTAAATATAATATAAAACATAATTTAAATATGTACAGGGTGACAAGAAAGAAATGGGGCACACATTTTATGCCATAACTTTATTCAAATTAGAGATAATTGATCAAATCAAGCTTATATGATAGCGAATTAAACAAGGAACAGATATTATCAAAAATTTTCTAATTGACCACTCTTTGCTCGGAAATGGAGTTGAATGCGCGCGGAAAAATTTTAGGCAAAAGTTCGCACCATCTTGGGTGAGATTTTCTCTCATTCCCGGACGGATGATTACAGTATCGACTCTAAACTTTTGGGTTATTAATAACAGACAGTTCCCTCAAAAATACCAAAAGGAGTAATCCATCGGACTCAACTCCAATGAGTACAGTAGCAATTTATGAGACATGTTAAAACATGGTAAATTGGTTGAGATCAACCCTGCACTACTCCAGCCTTATGAGCTGAGGAAGAATTCTGACGAAAGATCCGTTCCCTACGTCAAAAACACCCATCTCACAGTATTTAGTAATTCCCTGAATTTCTTGGTCTTATTAATTTTTGTAGACTGAGGAAAGTTAATTCCATTCTTAGACTATTCTGTGAAGAAATTCAACTGACTTTTGGTTGTGTGAATTCTTACTCTTAGGAGTAATGACCTACGTAATGATCTATTTGAAAAGAAACATTTTTTAGGAGATAAACATGTTATTTGAAAGGTTAATTATTTTAAAGATAGTAGTCATGTCAAGTATTTTTCATCTATTTTTCATCAAGTATTTTTCATAAAAGTTCTAATAACTAAATAAGTGGATAATGTCAATTGTGTGCAAATAATAAAAATCTAAATTTTGTTTTTGTTTATACGCGTCAAAATTATTAGTGCCATATTTATTCTAGTAATGTATTCGAATTCGATATAAAAGTTCTACGAACTAAATAAGTGGATAATGTCAATTGTGTGCAAATAATAAAAATCTAAATTTTGTTTTTGTTTATACGCGTCAAAATTATTAGTGCCATATTTACTCTAGTAATGTATTCGAATTCGATATAAAAGTTCTACGAACTAAATAAGTGGATAATGTCAATTGTGTGCAAATAATAAAAATCTAAATTTTGTTTTTGTTTATACGCGTCAAAATTATTAGTGCCATATTTATTCTAGTAATGTATTCGAATTCGATATAAAAGTTCTACGAACTAAATAAGTGGATAATGTCAATTGTGTGCAAATAATAAAAATCTAAATTTTGTTTTTGTTTATACGCGTCAAAATTATTAGTGCCATATTTACTCTAGTAATGTATTCGAATTCGATATAAAAGTTCTACGAACTAAATAAGTGGATAATGTCAATTGTGTGCAAATAATAAAAATCTAAATTTTGTTTTTGTTTATACGCGTCAAAATTATTAGTGCCATATTTACTCTAGTAATGTATTCGAATTCGATATAAAAGTTCTACGAACTAAATAAGTGGATAATGTCAATTGTGTGCAAATAATAAAAATCTAAATTTTGTTTTTGTTTATACGCGTCAAAATTATTAGTGCCATATTTATTCTAGTAATGTATTCGAATTCGATATAAAAGTTCTACGAACTAAATAAGTGGATAATGTCAATTGTGTGCAAATAATAAAAATCTAAATTTTGTTTTTGTTTATACGCGTCAAAATTATTAGTGCCATATTTATTCTAGTAATGTATTCGAATTCGATATAAAAGTTCTACGAACTAAATAAGTGGATAATGTCAATTGTGTGCAAATAATAAAAATCTAAATTTTGTTTTTGTTTATACGCGTCAAAATTATTAGTGCCATATTTATTCTAGTAATGTATTCAAATTCGATTTAAAAGTTCTACGAACTAAATAAGTGGATAATGTCAATTGTGTGCAAATAATAAAAATCTAAATTTTGTTTTTGTTTATACGCGTCAAAATTATTAGTGCCATATTTACTCTAGTAATGTATTCGAATTCGATATAAAAGTTCTACGAACTAAATAAGTGGATAATGTTAATTGTGTGCAAATAATAAAAATCTAAATTTTGTTTTTGTTTATACGCGTCAAAATTATTAGTGCCATATTTACTCTAGTAATGTATTCGAATTCGATATAAAAGTTCTACGAACTAAATAAGTGGATAATGTCAATTGTGTGCAAATAATAAAAATCTAAATTTTGTTTTTGTTTATACGCGTCAAAATTATTAGTGCCATATTTATTCTAGTAATGTATTCG